AAGGGAAGAAGGAATGCGGCGAGTTCATACATTCGTCAAAGTACATGTTTCTCAGTCTGCTGCAACATAGCTTGCTTCTTAGGGCGCATTCATTGGGTTTGGGGCTTCGTTCGGTAATTGATTGATTTCGATTATTTAGGCGTTGGTCACTTTGATGTGGGACTGACTATACGCTAGTCACCCAAACTTAAAATACTTTTTAGCTGAGGCAGGGGGTGTGATCTTCAACCTGGTCCGGAATGCGGACGCATGTAGCCAAAATGGTGGAGAAAGCCGAGCCCAACAACCATTATCGGNTTATCGGAGACAAATTGTTCATTGTGGGTTTAGCCCGCAAGCTTTCGACAAGCCCAAACCAAACGAATCTGGAACAAGAAGGTAAGAAACAACAGTCTGGGGTAATACTTAGCTGAAAAAGGATGAGGGTGAACAGAGAATGTCTCGAATACTATGCAGAGTGGAATAAAGCAAGCTAGCATGTATGCGTACTAAAATAAAGAGAAATATATGTATACAGTAGGAAATAGTAAGTCACAATGCATGAAAAAGTATGCATCATCATGGGCTGTGTTCCACAGATCTAGCTTTGAAGATGGATCCGTGTACTGATATGCATTTAGTTGGGGAGGCGGACACTGCTACCTGGTTAGCACGTGCCACGGGGATTAACCAAGTGAGTCAAACCGGAAGGAGATGAGGTATACATAAAGTAGGACTAATAGGTCACAATACTTTTACATGTACTGTTGAGATTTTGTTTCATAGATCTAGCTTTGAGACTGGATCAGTGCACTGATGTGAATTTGGTCGAGAAAGTGGACACTGCTACACGTCAAGTCAAAGTAACCTTTATGCACCCGTAGGATGAATTTTCAGCGATATTTCACGATAATTCAGTGGAGCTGAGGTGAATGGCCTGCGAGTGTGAGTAGGTTAATTTAAAAAATAAAAAACGACAGAATACTGAATGCAGGAAAACGATAGTGACGGATAAAAAAACGAATAAATAAACTTACACATGAGGTGTTCAACCAAACCTGTAATAATAAATGCCCGATTTACTAGAAAGCGAGCAAGAAAAGGGAAGATGCTGTTTCTGTATGCGACGGTGCGCGCGGGAATCAGCCTATAATGAAAGCGGGTACCGTGGTTTGACATGGATTT